GCTTGCAATGAGCAACATACCATTATATTTCCTGGTGAGAAACCTTCCATCAACGAGGATGACTCCTAGACAACTCTTGAAGCCTTGTATGCAAGGTCCAAATGCTCAAAACACTCGTTGGAAGATCTTGTGGCCTGGCATAGATGAGGTGACCGTCATCCAATAAATAAAATATATTGGGTAATTTTACCTTAATGCGCATCAACATCTATAAATCACCGTATGACTTCTCCCAATTGTCATAAAGTTGTTCCATCGCCCTTTGCTTAGCATACCAAGCCTTTTTATAACGAATATTAATTCGATACCTATCCCTTGCACTCGACCTGCAGAGTTTTGACACGTATATCTAGTTGGGCTTGAACTAAATGCTTCACAGTGTAAGAAACCATATTTGCGTCAAATTGACGATGATCCTTTGGTTGAGTCGTGTTGCTACATGAATGCGCCCAATTCGCCTTTTTAATTATGTAATCACCACTAGAATATTTGGAGGCAACCCAAACCATCCATGTGAAATTGCTCTTCGTGTAGTTGTAGCATTCTACCTTCCAAAGTTTTTATGTTGACCACTCTAAATTGGAAGTTACTTCCCATCGTGTAAAGCTTCATGGCCCTTGGTGCAGCTTCTCTTTTGAACAAAATATTTTACCAATGTAGAACTCTTGTCCCGGGCGGCTTCCTAGTTCATCTTTCGTATCTCCATAAGAGTCAACTCTCATCTCGTTGTCATAGTCTTCTGAGAGCACAAAATAATGTGTTGCGGGAACATATGTCTCTACATTTGAAGTAGCACAAGCTCCTCGATCACAACTCGATGATCACCTTCATCAAATTATTCGGCATCAGCCTCGTCCTCATTGCCCTCATCCGTAACTTTATCTGGCTCACTATGGACACTACTCGAGTGCATACTATACATATCGTCCTCCTCTTCTAGATGACTAGCAAACTCGACACATATTTTAGCAAACTCGTGATTTGGATTTCGCGCCATAAAATTTGTTATCATATCAACTCCAACACCATCCATAACAAGAAGATAGGGCTGGAGGGTCAGTTATTTCGGTTATAACCCGTAACCGAACGGTCAGTTACTGGTTAACCGCGAAGACAGCCGACCCTATTGCCAACCGACCGACAGATCCCCTCGGTTATCCGACAACCAACCGGTCGGTAACCGGTTAGTTACTCGGTTAACCGAGAAACCCGCAACACCACAATCAGCTCGATTATAACCGAGTAACCGGACAACCCCTTTACACGAACAAGATCGCGAAAATTTCCTAAAATTAAACGTCCAATCCTACATTTCTACATCTAAATCACTCCACAAGTCAAGTTTCAATCATTTTTGCATAGAAAATATATTTAAATCCCCAAATTAATGTCTCAAATAATAGATCATAAAGTCACAAATTACAATAGATCCAATCCAAATAGCATCAACAAGTCCCAACCAAATCATCACTTCTCAACAGATGAAGAACCAACATCTACATAACCCTTTTCTTTCAATTGCGGCAAGAGGTCATGACCAACATCGTCATATCCATCTTTCTCATACTCTTCCTTCGGCACATTTTCTTCACCCTTCTGCTCATTCCCATATGGAATGTTCAGGCTTGCATCTGCATTGGCAACATTGCCAACATCACTTGCACTTTCCGTTCTAGACTTGAAAGTGGTATTAACTAAGTAAGAAAAAAGAAAACAAAGTGTTAGAATATTCATACATTGAATTAGGTGGAAAGAAATAGCGCCTGTTTACTTGAACAAACAATAATTAAGAGAGTTTTAGAACTTACCGCTTTCCAAATCCATGATCTCTTCATCATCTTCCCTCTCGTCATTCTCTCCGGCCCCGGTAGTTTGATAATTTATCCAATCCTCCGCACAAATCAATGCCTCCAACATGATATCACTCAAGTAGGACCTGAATGGACTGAGAATCCGACCGCCACAGTTGAAGGTTTCCTCTGAGGCAACAGAAGAGATGGGAACAACTAGGATATCCTTAGCCATCTCAGCAAGAATCGGATATGTTCCAGAGTGTCGAGACCACCAACTCAAGATGTCAAACTTGGCATCATCACTCTCCTCATTGATGCCATCAGTTTGACATCTTAGATAGATGTCAAGCTCAGTAGAACTACCTCCTGTATCCTGCAGAAGTGCTTCTCTTTTCCTCTTCCTAAGCCTCTCCTCAAGCTGCTTAATCCTATCACCACCAGTCGTGCTCTCACCAATGGTAGGCTCAGATGCAGAGGAGGGTGCTTTTGATCCATACTTCTCTTTGTAAACATCAAACGGCTGTTGCATCTCCAACCTAATGTAGTCAACCATTTCTCCTCCCTTATCCTTCACATACATCTTTGCCAAAACCTCGGACACCAAATCAAGTTTCTTCTTGGATCAAGCACACATGCTATATAAATTAAGTGGTTCACCTTCATGTTCTTCTCATTCACAACACATGACTCAAACCAATACTTTTGTACCTTTTCCTCAACCTTCTCAGCCATCTTTCGGATCTCTTCATGCGGATCATTCTTCAATTTCTCAGTGATGTCATATACCGTAACAAGCTTCTTGAAGAAGATATGGATAGTCACATATTTAGTTCCTATACAATGAGAAGATAACACAGAAGATTAGAATAAAACAAATAGAAATGGGCAAATGGTTAAAAAATTTAAATAAAACAATGCAATTCAGAAATTTCATTTACCATAGACTAGAAGGGTCAAGTTATTGAAGACTTTCAGATAGTTTTCCAACTTCCTAATCATCTGCCAATCTTGATTAGTTGGAAGCCCACCTTTTGAGTCAAGATAATCTCTAAGAGAATGATCTTGTGGACTTGAATACAAAGTCGTGAACACTGCATCAAAACTTTCTGCGAACTCTAACATGGTATAGGTGGAGTTCCACCTGGTCGGTACATCCAAAGACACCAGTTTGGTTGACTCCACATGCAGAAATTCCATGCCATTCTTGAACCGTAACAACCTAGCTGGTGAAGACCTCACCCACTTCACACAATCCGAACTCTGTCCACAGCACCACCAACCACTTTCAGTCCATCTTGTACCACCAGATTAATGATGTGTGCAACACATCGAAACTGCGGAAACTTCACATCCATCAAATCACACCCCCACTCCTTTAGCTTCATTCTCCTGCACTCACTGAGAACATCATTTGAAGTTGCATTGTCCATGGTCATGCAGAACAAATTCTTCACCTTCCACTCTTGAAGAACTCCTGCAAGCTTCTCTGCAATATCAACTCCAGTATGACTTGTGATGGGAACAAATGCTATAACCTTCTTCTGCAACTTCCAATAACCTCCAATAAAGTGAGCAGTAACACATATAATTCTTGTTGTTATCAGAAGTCCACGTATCTGTAGTGATTGAAACTCTTCCTTGACTCCTTGATTAAAAAAATCAATTAAATCCACCTTTTTATCCAAGAAGATATGAAAGCAATCATCTCTTATAGCTTTCCTCCCAGGTATCCTAAACAGTGGCTGAACAGCAGACATGAATTGCTTAAATCCTTCCCTCTCCACAAAGCGAAATGACAATTCATCCATAATGATCATACTGGTGAATGCATATCTAGCTTTTCACTGATCAAACTTCCATAAATCACTTACTTGACCACCTTCCGATGTCTGCAATACTGTCTGATTTTTTTGTTGTTGCCAACTTAGCCAAACATGAGTGCTTGTGGTTATTCATTGCAGTGGTCCCATTTTTGTGAGGATGAGCTTTGATTAGAGTATGACAGTGTATGCACTCTCCCATCGGGTAGTTGTCAATTATCACCTTCTTAAACACCTTCCAACAAGGAGCTTTACCCACCGTCTTCAACCATTTCTCGCAGTAAAAAATGTCTTCTGTAGCTGTATGTTGAAATGCGAATTGGAGCAAGAATGAACCCAATTTGGCGCGTGCCCCAATTGGTCTTATTCCCTCCCCAATTCTCTTATTTCTTCCTATTCTGGCGCTCACCCCAATTTGATTTTAATGACTGTAGATTGGGAAGTATTTTCACAACCACTGTATTTCAGGTAATTTTTAAATCACAATAGCTATGGAAAAAACCTGGGTTTTATGGGTTAGATAAGAGTGATCATTTCTGTCAAGTGTCAACCACGTCATCAAAACTCTAATGGTGTTAACGAAGTATGACGAAAGTAAATGGCCAATGACCAAAATTGGAAATTTATTTAATTTAGAATGAGCATTAATGCAATTAAAAATTTTGAGCGACAAACGTGACATAAATAAGTAATCTCAACGACCAAACATACTATTAACCCCTTAGATATTGCTATGCAAATTATAAATTGTTAATTGTATCAAGGTCATAAAAAGCTTGAATTTTCTCTACACATTTGCTTGATTGAGTAATGAAAGATTTGATACAACCGTCAAAGAAAGTGAAAATCACATTAGTAAAGAGCATTGCTCTAAGAATATGTGGTTAGTGCCTTTGTTTTCGTTATCAACGAATACTTCATTTCATTTAAAGGGGCAAATGACAAGTTGGTATGAGTATTAAATAAAATTTATATGTTGTACAAATATCAAACAGATCCACGTGAAACAAATTGAGAAGTGTCTAAATTGCCCATACTAATAGCATCCTAATTTGCAAGGGATTCATTAATTTACCTAATGACTAAGTCAAGTACCAGACAGATGTATATGAAACAGATTGAGAAGTGACTAAATTACTAATATCATCCTAATTTGCAAGGAATTCATTAATTTGCCTAATGACTAACCGAAAAATTCCACCAACCCACCCACATATCCAGAAGAAGATTTAGGTGCATAACTGGGTTGACTCAACATCTTTTTCGATTTATCATCGCCCCCTTATTAAAATGCATCCGATTGTTTCACGCAAACCAAACGCACAACAACAAAAAAACAGGCAACGTGGACCGTACCAAAAGACCTAAAGCCTGCAGGTTCCCAGTTGGAAGGAGGAATGAAGTAATATTTTCTAACAGCAATAGTGTTTTACTCTAACAGCCCAAGTGGTTCTTAATTAAAAAAATAACACAACCACATTGGGACGGAGGGGATACACTATGTTTTCAGATTAAAACAAATAAAAGAAGGGGAAAAAAAAGAATATTAAGTTGTAACAAAAAGGTCAAACTAACGATATACAATTTTACAAAAGGCTTTGTCTTCCTCTTCTTCATGCACTTCCTTCCCCATCTCTTCAAAAGGCCGAAGACAGATAGAAAGCACCACTGGCACCCAATATTGCCCGGGAATTTAAAATTAAAAACAAGATGTAAAAACCAAAAAAAAAATGTGAAACTTCAATTATAGTTGCAACTGCCCTGGGCCTTTCCTGGATGATCTTGATGGCATCCTATTTACTTCTACCGTTGATGTAGATGACGACGACGTAGGTCTCCGAGTTTCTTCCGACCTCTGAACCTCCTGCACCCACATTAGAGCTTTCACAATGTAAATTATAGAGCCACTTTGATGTTTTACACAGCCGATAGACTGAGTCGACGTCAACTGAACAGCGGTGAACTTTACACAGCAAATTCTCTTCTTGCAGAGAACAAAAATCAAAATCAACCATTCCTGAGAACAGAACAGGATGGATGATCATACAGACGGAAACAACTTACCTTTAGTGATGAAGTGGAAGTGTTGCGCAAATGTGCCAGCTCTCTTGTGTGGATACGATGTTGGCTCTGGACTTGCTCAAACTGCTGCAACTTTGAAGTGAAGTTAATCCCATTTTGAGAATTAGGATTTCCCGATTCCTGCCCTACTACATCACCATCCTCCGAGATCTGTGATCCACTTGGACTGTGATGTAGAATTTGAGAATACGGGTTCCCTGAAGACGTCCGCTTAACCTGATGATCCCCACTGAAGGAATATGACGGTACCGTCTTTAATCGAGTCCGCAGAATCTTAAAAGCGGCACTTTGCTGTATTTGGAAAAAAACGAAAAAATGAACTACATCAGGTTGCTATCTGTATGATCAAGCACTTTTCTAGGAAGTAGGGATGTGTGGATATAGTAATAAAGCTCGCCAAAGGACAATTAGTCAACTTATAATTATCAGACACCGAATGCATACATATCAGTACCTGCCAAAAAGGAAGCAGGCATATCAGGAGGGCATACCTGGGGAAGCAACATGAGAAGACCGTACAAGGCTTTTAACAACCATGTGTATCTTCCTGGCTCAAGAAGCTGCATGGATCATAAAATGGCTCAGCTCAGAGGCCACCCAAAAATCGAAGGGGGGAGGAGAAAGTATCCATATCCCAACTCAGCTCACAAAAATCATCATTCCTTGTTTTAAAGTATCAATGTATCATATCCAGCTAAATCCAATATATGAAACAGTTGGAGTGGAGTGTGAGCGAGGCATTATAATTCTTCAAATTAATACCTGCAGCCTTAGATAAGCAAAAATCGGAGTCTCAAGCAGCCGAATCAGTTTATCCAGCTGTACCAAGAACTTCACATTAATATCCTCCTCCACTAGTGACTGTATCACGCCACTGGCATGCTGGTACATCTGAGGGACATCGCAAGGGGATTGTGCTCAAAAAAGATGGCATTAAAAGTATAGTAGACAAGTGACACCTCAAAATTATCAGGAAAAAAAAAAAGAATTATTTATTTTACCTGTACTAACAAGCAAAGGCTTATGATGGCCATCGGCGAATGGCACCACGAAGCATATAATGATAGAAACAAATCTCTGCCGGCAGCATTCACCAGTGATTGTTTCAACAGATCTCGAAGCTCGGCTAATTCAGAGGACGTAAGCAAAATCAAATTCAAAGCCTGAAAGAAACAGAGTAGAGCACATGAGTGAACATGAAGAGAAGCAAACAAAATTTTGGGCCAAATAAGAAACACCACCACATAAATCGGACAAAGGGTTATACTATAATCATATGAAATTGCCGTGCACATAGATCACTTCATGACATCAATTAAAAAGGAAGATCTAGAAACTTGAAAACAGAGTATTACGTTTGCCGATTGTCCTTTAATTTAATGTGTAGCTCTGAAATTGGTAAACTAGCTGAAATGGGCCTCCAAAGCTTAAGTGTAACTTGAATCTATTAAGTAGGTTACTGACATCAAGACAACTGAAACTCCACCTAAGCACATGCAACTGTTAAAACCATAAGCCTCACTTCAACTTAGCACAACTCTAGCAGGCACCTAAGTTCTATGAACTTGAGAAATTAAGTACCAGGCCAGTAGAAAAAATTGTTGTCCAGATGCACAAACCTGAACCATAATAGAAGCAAAATCCAGGTCAGCTTCACCCTCAAGTATTTTGGACAGTTCCCTATATACCCGTTCAGCATCTAAAAGCACACAAAGACGCCGAATGATCAAGGCACCACGCCTAGCAAAACAAAAATAGCATCATGTAATTGCTGATACCTAACCATGGGAACAAGACAACAAAGCAAACTTAAGGATATAGGTACTTACTTTTCCAGAAGAGAATTATCAATGCGGAAATTATGCATTAAGAAGACAACAAGTTGGCGGAAATGTTGTGGATCCTTCGCGATGCATGCATGAACATCAAGAACCAGCAGTACAACCTGGAAAAAAAATTAGGTATACAATACATCAAATCGAGTAACCTGCAATTCCAGCATCAAATTCCATATAAAGCAAATGCAAGATTTGAAGATTAGTATCATTTAATCTGATCAGATATGCAAGCAAATAAAACGTGAAGAACAAGCGGTAAAACACTATATGAAGAATGGCACAGCGTACATATAGGTCAACGATTGAAGAATGAGGTTTACTGCACTGAAAGATAGGAAATTAGCCAGCTAGTAACATTAGAAAAACTCAAGGACTAACATCATCAGTAGTTCCCTTTTCCATATACTGTTCCGATGATGGCCTGAAGGTGACAACCATGCAGAACTATATAGACTAACAGATGATAGCCAAATAATAGAGTTTTGAGACTATAGACAATGTAATGAAACTAAATTTCCCATTATTGGTAAGCATGTCCAAAACTGGACGATTACAATAATAACTTTAAGAGATGGAGCAGTAAAATTGAAAGTCGAAAACTGTGGAGGAACTTAACAATGAATCATCTACTCAACCACTCCCCACCCACACCACCAAAATTTTTAAAACAAGTTTAGGGAATGCACTACTGATCAGCAATTGAGCAATTATAAGATAAAGCAATGAAGAAACTTCTAGGATGAGGGCGGAAGATCAAAACTATTGAACTTATTAGTCTCATAAAAGACCAAAACAATATTCCAGAAAACAGAAAAAGACAGGCAATGAAATCATGACTTAATAGCGAACTTACAGAACAGAACATTTAATAGAAAAGATGAGATAAAGCTCACAGAAGTAACTATCCAATCAACTAATTAAAATTACCTCATCAGAAGCATCTGATAGTACTTTCAAGAGAGTATCAAATATGTCATCAAGAAAATTTAACACCTGTTTCATGCAACAGACAAGATTAAACATCATCAATTTAAAAGATAAATTAACTAACATGATTATAGAGTGCAGAAAAAAAGTAGAGCAGTAACTGCATTTTTCAATTTGTATAGAGTGCCTTTATATTGCCTCCCAGTGACATGCTACATATTGACCACATATTCCCCTACTACAAATCCAAGATATAGTCCAATCAAGAATGCCTGTGTAGTAACAAATCATTGAAGACTCTGAAGCGATCTTGGACCAAGAGTCATATATAGCGTCCCTTACTTCCAATTACTAACATAACACCACTATCAACACTCTGAAGGATACAAATCTTAGAAAAGCACTCTTCAAATGTGGACATGATACGTCACTCTGGTTTCTGAACCAAGACAGCAAAACATATAGATTATGTAGGTATATCTTATACCTCAGCCCGATGTCTGTTCAAAAGAGCAGATATCCAGTGCAATGCCTCTATTCGGGTAGCGTCCCACTCACTAGACAGTTGTCTGGACAGTTCAGGAAGTACACAATCACAATGAGACTAACGATACTCAGAACAAAATTGTATGGCTAAAGAGCGTATGCTAATTAACTTCAAAGTAACCTCACGTTAAACGGACATGTTATCTAAATAAATAATAAAATACACTGCTCTCTCCTGCTCAAAGTTGCAAGACCAACCTCCTGGCAATTGAGAGAATTGCTCCAACATCAAACCCTTCTGCAGGATCAGCCTTGATAGCTCGAAGCTCTTCATTGGTTTCACGGGCAACCTCCATTCAAAATGGAAAGAAAGATCAGTATATTATACTTAAGCACCACATAAAAATTCAAATTTCAGATTCAATTGTATTCTTCATTTCCAAAGAAGGATAAAGAATGTCACTATAAATTAGGTTGTCCATCAAACAATGAGATGTTCACAAGTTAATAACATACAAACCATCAAACATAACCTCTAGTGGTTTGGAGCTGGATACCTTTCACTGGTCCAACCAAGGATAATACAAGCGTATCAGACATAACACTTTACATTGATAGATCTCTCCAAGAGAGTAAATCGAAAATATACTTCCATTATTTAAAGGTTACACCACAGCCACGGGGAATAAATTCCAATTTTGGAAACATACATATGCAAGTAAGGATGTGATCAAAGTCGTTACCGACTTTTGAACGTTGAGACAGCTTACCACTCTAATCTTCTCTTCTTTGTCAGAAATACAAGGCAAAATTGCTCCAAGAATATCAGCATAATAAGGCACAAGTTGGTCTCCGCCAAGTTTCACAAATTCATTGATCTGCACAAGCCCAAAAGTAAAACACGCTATACAAATAGCAAGATGTAATTCAAGTTTAAGGAATAGATAGAATAAAGCATCAGGACACTCACCCAAGTGATGGCTGTCAACCGAGTAAATTCATCAGAAGAAGCTGCCCTTTGCACCAGTATCTCAGCCATGCGCCCATAATCTACAGACTTCAACAGTAGCACTGCTCGAGTCAGAAAACTACAAATGAAAAAAGATTTATCTGTCTCACTTTGATATAGAAATCACAAAAATCCGCTATACTTTTAAGAAAAAGACCCAACCCACTGCAAAGGACAAAAGCAAAGAAAGCATTCACAGTAAAAGTTTCTGAGCAACTAGTAGAACAAAAGAGCATAAATATCAAAGTTGAATGTCAGGGGAGGGCCTACTGGGGAATTCTTTATTTCTTGGAGAAACTCCGAAAGTGCAGAATCAGCTTGTTGCCGTATTTCATGGCTAGAATCACTCAGCATATTGAACAAACCTGAGATTCATGTAAGTTCATAATCATCAAATCCCAACAATTGATTACAAATTTTAACAGAAGATTCTAAACATGCAGTACACATTACCATCAAGGAAATCTGGTAGAAACCCCAGCATATCTATATCAGGAACACTGTCCAAAACTGTAATCCATCCTACCAGAAATTGGCGGACATAGGGATTCAACACATTCATACGTTCCCTCAACAGAGGAATGAATTCTTCAATGCTGACAAAGACAATCAACAGAACCATTGAGATCAAAATAATATTTACGACTTCAGAAGTCTGCTTCCAGGACTAAAAAAGGTATATGCAACAGTATAACACACCTGAACTGATCACTTTCTGTGACAATGTCCTGTGACATGATGGAAAATATGAGAAGCGATTTGAAAGTGAAGGATACTATCTTCAAGGATAACTTTAGGTAATTCATGAGAACTTGTAACTGAGATAGAGAAGCTACTCACTTTCACAAGTCGGTCTAACAGATGAGCAGCACTTTGTACATTGGCATCTGAATCGGCAGAAAGTTTGCAGAGAGCATCAAATATTTGGTTAAAGAATACAATAAAATCCCCTCTGACAACCTGCACAGAAAATAAAACCAAGTGAAATAAAGTCTAGGCCTGAAAATGAATAGGCAAGATGCAAAATTAGGAATCAATTCTCACCTTTGCAATGTTATATAGAGCTTCACATGCATAATACCGGACTCTGCTATCTTGGTCAGAGAAAGAATGAAGCACAGGTGGCACAATTTGCTGGTAAGATGCAACCAGAGTATTAGTGATACACAAAGTTGCGTGAGTAAAAGAAATCATCCAATGTTGAAGGGAGAAACATCATAGAACAGCATATGAGCAGTTGGCAACTTTGCCTAATACAAAAAGAAAGAATACACCGCTGTAGCATTCATACTTGGCAACATGGACAAAATTGCGAGTTAATCAAGTCAGAGCTAAATAACCAATCAAGTTAGCTCGTGTCCTCAAACAACATCTTCTCATGATGACTCATCCACGGAAGACTTCCAATCAAAAAATAAAAATTGCTTGCTTAATTAATCCAGTACTAACAGTCTTCAAAAGTTTTGGCCCTGAAGTCAACTGACTATATGTCTAACAGTTTCAGACCATTTTGCATAATTGTCTAGTGTATGGCCAAAAGGAGACACAAAGCAACTTGACCTTTAACCAAGTTTGAAACCAGAACTCACATAGCTCCTCACCCTTTGCTACTGAGTTCTAGATCCTGACTGCATAGCAAGTCCCCAAATGAGACCCTATGCCCGAATGCATGAGACGAACAAGAAGTTGTTCACATCTTGAGAACTTGCAAGTGAAGTTCAATGCAAATACAGTACCTCAATTATTCAACAAAGCTATTAAAGTATCTAATTGATCTAACTTCCAAAAAGCCAAATCTTTCTATTTCGTGATTACCCCTCTGAACCATACACAACAACATTTACAGACTCATTTGGACTTTTCTATACTGACTATGATGAAGTGCTATGTTCCAGTTTCTTTTATGATTCCAATAAGTCATATAACTACAGGATAACTGTACTTCCTACTTGGATCGGAAATAAAAATTATCGTTGTCACTACACAAACTGCAGATTTTTATTTGTTTCTATCTTTCTTTGAATGAGTGAGTGAAATTACTACACTAACTAGCAGCCGATTAGCCCCACATGAGATGATACCTCGGAACTTCAAGTTCAAGAAAATGGTTCATAAGATGATTGATATGGAATAAAATAAGTTATTCCACTAATTACCTAATACAATCCAAGTTAATTAATATATTCACACAGATAGCTCAACATCGTTTGCTCTATTACGTGACCCACGTCCTATTGATCAAGGTTGGCATAGCAGATCAAGGAGCAGTATTACAAAAAGGGGGGAAATTTTCATAGCTTATTAAGAGGTTGTTCAACCAGTATGCATCCAGGGACTTCACGAGGAAACACGGCCTAGGAATCGTGAATCAACCTTCATCCACCGTTACTAATACTGAAACTCAATCTAGAAAAACCTATAAGGATCTCAGATCACTATGGGAGAGCAACTAAATTACCTCAAGATGCTGAGCTGCTTCTGATGTCAATCCTACCGTTGCAGCAGCCAAACCTATCAACCCACCCTGGAATATTGAAATTCGGAAGACAAGGTTCAATTTCAGCATTCTCTTTCACAGAATTTCAAACCCAAGAATGCCAAACTAAACTAACACAGAAGTTTCAGAAGTCCAGTCATTCAAAGGCACCTTGCGGTGGTTGGCTTGAGGAGAGTAAGTGTACTCAGAGGTCAACAAATCGATAACCGCCGATATCTTGTCATGATCGCCTGCTGCAGCCAGCTGCTTCACTATCCCCTCAACCTACATATGGAATACAATTTTCAAAAACCACTCCTTGGGGAAGCAAAATCGAGAAATTCAACCAGAACACGAGGAGGAATAGGGAGCATTCGGGAACCTCCAGAGCGGCATTCTTCCGTTTCTCGTAGAGCTTATCGGACAAATTGCGGAGCACGTTGGCCGGAATCACGGACAGCGCGTCGGCCATGTCCGGAGCAGAAGCAGCGGCCGCGAAAGCACCGCCAAATTTCAGAGAAAATTTGTCAAACTCCTCTTCCTTGCTCCTTCCCTCGTCCAGGCAAGCGAAAAGAAGCGAGAATAAAACTGAACCGAAACAAGATCAAATCGGTTTCCTTATTTTCTCCTCCTCGAATCTTAACATATGGTCGTCTACCTCCGCAGTCAAGCGGTTAGGGTTCGGCGCCGCCGTCGCCGTCCGTCGATCAACGGCAAAGGAAGTGTGCGTTGAAAAGGACAGGGAATCAATCAGATCTGACAGAAATCTTAGGAAATGGAATCGACGGTGGTAATAAAAATGTTGAGACCTTCACTTATCGCCGGCAGTTTCCTTTCCTTTCTTTCTTACCCCCTCTCTTTTTTGCTATTAATCCAGAAGAGAATTTCGAGTACTGTTTCGTTCTTCGTTCTTTCTTTCTTTGTGCTTATTCTCGATCTTTTTCCTTTTTGGTTGTTTTGTTTTTTAAATGTTTTTTTTTGTTGGCTGGCTCTCTCAGCTGGAAATGTGTTTTATTTCCCATTTTCCTGTCCGCTGTTTCGTTTAATTAATCAACCGTCTTTTTGAACTTTTTGGATATGCGCGTGATAGCAGGTAAATGTCAAGTTTGATCACTGAATTAAATAATTTATTATATTTAGTTACTATAAAAAATTCATATTAATAATGGTTACTAAGTTTAGTAAAACATATTATGTTTGGTCACTCTTTGTTAGTCTTCGTCCAACTTCGTTAATGGAGTCCGTTAACTGCTGACGTGGCAAACAAAGTCACCTAATCAGTTGGATTTAACTCAATAAAAATAAAATCTGACCCGCCACATCATTAAAACCAACCTAACTCATGAAACCCTTTATCTTACCCGACCAAAACCTTCTCCCTCCTTGCCCCTTCTTCGAGCTTTGCCTCCATATCCAAACCAAGATCAGCTACTTGTAACAGCTCCTCCACTAGGGTTAAGGTTACCTGCTCGAGCTCTACTCCGGAGAGTATTCCTCTTGTCATCAGTAAGTCTTTCCCGGATTTCAGTTTATTTCCTTCGGCCACCGGTGTCGTTGATTGACTTGTGCATGTGATTTTGAGAGAGCAACTAGTTCTCTGGCGGGGAAGCTGTTGTCGTCTCTCAAAAAGGTTACGATTGTGGGGCATGCGCTCAACACGTGGAATTTGGAGAGCCGAGTTTAGGTTAGGGTACGCTCGAATTGGAATTGAAATTTAAATTGGGAATTGGAAGTGAATTAGCTTTTAACTCAATAAAAATAAAATCTGACCCGCCACATCATTAAAACCAACCCAACTCATGAAACCCTTTATCTTACCCGACCAAAACCCTCTCCCTCCTTGCCCCTTCTTCGAGCTTTGCCTCCATATCCAAACCAAGATCAGCTACTTGTAACCGCTCTTCCACTTGGAAGTGAATTAGCTTTTAATTTGAGGAAATATGAAATCCCAATTCTGTAGCATTTTCCTTTGTTCCTTACCCAACTTAGTTATGGTGCTAATAGGGTTTTTTGTTAGTATATACACACAGGGAGATTGGTGTCCACGTGGGCAAGCCATGATCTGATGGCTGGGAACGATTGGTGTGGGCATGTGAGGGGAGGAGGGCAACTGACCGGTTCGGTTGGCTCATTCCCACGATCCAACCGAGAAAAGGGACCCACAAATTCAAAATAAAAAACCACAACTTTTTTTCCCGATCTCCTCCTTTCTCACCACTTTTCAGTTTCCTTCTCTCTCCTCATTTTCTCCTCCTCTCTCTCCCAATACGAACCAAAAATCCTCTCTGTTGACGTCCGTGAGGAAGAAGACGATGGCGACTGCAACAATATCCTCTCTCTCTCTCTCTCTCTCTCTCTCTCTCTCTCTCTCTCTCTCTCTCTCTCTCTCTCTCTGAAGGCGATTTATCTATTTTCATTCAGAGAAAAGGACCAAGAAGCTTTTTGAAGGGAAGGTCGCTGACAAAGAACAACTTCACAGACTGAGGTACGCTTCTTCTCCTTTCTTATTTGTTGATTTTCTTTGTGGATACGAAGTTAGGGTTTCATGGGGTTTTTTTTTTTTGTCGAGTTGGGGATTCTGGGTTTTGGTTGGGATTTGGGATTCGATTTGTAGATCTGGAATATTAGTTTCTTTCATAGTGGATAACAGTTAGCATGCTTGGGATACTACTTTTTTATGATGTGGATATTGTTCTGTGCTGTCCAGATATTGAAAATAATATGCCTGGATATTTGTCCTTAATGTTTGGATATTTGTCTGCTCTTTATTGGATTAAGGGTTTCATGTTTTTTTTTTTTTGTCGAGTTCTGGGTTTTGGTTGGGATTTGGGATTCGATTTGTAGATCTGGAATATCAGTTTCTTTCATAGTGATAACAGTTAGCATGCTTAAGATACTACTTTTTGATTATGTGGATATTGTTCTGTGCTGTCAAGATATTGAAAATATTATGCCTGGATATTTGTCCTCCATGTTTAGATATTTGTCTGCTCTTTATTGGATATATCTCTATGTTTACAGGATATTTCTATGTGCTTCAGGGCTTTTGCATAATGGAAGACATGGAGCATTCATTGCGGCCAACCTCCTACTTTGGCACTATAACGCCCATGTAGATGGGATTAGGCTTGGGTATATGGGATTTAATTTGTTGATGATGTAGATTCTAGTATGTAATTGTTTGTCCAGATATTAGTTATGTGATGTATTGATATTTTTTTCCCTCAATCAGGATATTACTCTGCCATGTATGGATATTAGTTCCCTGATATTTGTTCTGTGAGGTCAAGATATTTGTTAAATGATTACTTGATATTGTTCTGTTTGGAATGTTGTAATTGCCATGTCCGAATGGTTTACTCGGTGTTATCTTCATCCTCCGACTCTGAAGACATATCGGCAAAATCCCCCGCCTTTGAAGACACCCCACACCCCAAAAGCGCCTCAAACCAATCCATGTGAAAGCCACACCCCTTGTCACTCTCATATTCATACATTGGAAAACCAGTATGTTAGGAAGGATGCTTAAATAAACAAATATGACATTTGAATAGTTAGTACAAGGTTCACATGGGAATAGTGACCATAAGATTCACATGTGAATAGTTACAAACTAATATCCATCTCATAAAATACATGTTCATAAAAAAACAAACATCTATACCGCCCTGACAAATACCCATTCACCACAAAGCAAATATCCTTCCTTTCTCAAACAAATATATGTGGCGCCCAGACTAACATCCATCCACACCAGAAATAATATACTCTCTTAAACGAACAAATATCTTTGACACCCTTACTAATATTGCAACCACATAAGCTAATATCTGAAATCACAAACGGACTAATATCAGGGTCTGGAAGACACTCACTCTCCTACTATTATTGTTTCATAGGCCTTCGGCCCATGGGCCCTCGGGGGGCAGCCCTAACTAAGGTTGCACGCCTTATGTGTTAGGACTTGATAGTGTGTTTAATTTTGATGAAATACACAATATCCATTACTTCGCAAACTAATATACATAACATATAATATTCATTCATGAAAAAACAAATATCCATACCGCCCAGACTAATATCCGACCATATAAACTAGTGGCCCCTGGATAATTATTTGGTTAAGGATGAATATAATTATCTACAAACTAATGTTCGATCCATCTTAAACTATTATAAGTTCATGACAAACCGTAATACTAATTCAAAACAAAAATACAAACAAAAAAAACTAATATTCAATCATCTGCCAACTAATATCACATTACCACTGGAAGAGAAGAGAAAGAGGAGCTTGAGAAAGAATAAGAATTGGTGGACCGAGCTCTCCCAATTCCCCCTTCCCTTCCTCTCCCAATTCCCGCCGAAAATTTTGGTGGACCCAGCTCACAAACTCAACTCCTTAAACCGACTCGACTGTGGGTTTGGTTTGGGCAAAAAAATCCACAATAGCTCACTTAAGTGAGCCCATAGCTCATCCCTTGGATCTCTACTGCCTCCACGTGGGCCTCCATCCCACCATGTTAGTATCTACTAACAAAAAGGCATTTTAATAGTTTAACTTTTTCGTCCTTACCCACATGCAAGCCATTGTTTTCCGTTCTCACCTGCTTACTATGTACTCTCTCATCCCGAACTATGAAATCCCAATTCTCTGCTTTCTTGCGAGGTTCTGTCGAATTCACTAATCATCGACCTTCATTGAGCGAATTGGCAATGGTAAATGAAGATTGGTCGTCGGATTGGCTCGAATTGTTGAACTACAAGCGGAGAAATTGATTGGGTGTTCTGGGTTTGCCATCCTTCGTTTTGATTGTTCCGTTTCTATCGGATTGTCGATCGTGGTCTTTCTTGGGCAACTCTCTGCACCGGCATCAATATCTAGATGTTACAGGGGATTTGGCGTTGGAGTTAGGGGAGGTTTGCGAGAAGAGGTAGGAGGAAGGAGGAAGAAGCAGTAGTGGTGAATTTAGGAAAAACAGGAGGTGGGAGGAAGGAGTAAGATGATGTGGCGGGTTCGGGCCAGGTCAAATTGAGAAGAAAATAAAGAGTTGGGTCATAGGTTGGGTTGGTATTGATGATGTGGCGAGTCAAATTTTATCTTTATTGGATTAAACCCGACTCATTAGGTGATTCCGTTTGCCACGTCAGTAATTAACGGATTTCATTAATGAAGTTGAACGGAAACTAACGCAGAGTGACCAAAAATAGCATGTTTTACTAAACTTAGTGACCATTATTGATATTAATTTGTTCTAGTGACTAAACATGACAAATTTCAGTAAATCCAGTGACCAAACTTGACATTTACCCCAGGATAGCAAAAAGGATCCTAGAAATAAAGGGTTATATATATAATATGTCCCTCTACTATGTCATTTTATCAACATACCCCTCCGTTATTTTTCCATCAAACATGCCCTCTACTTTTGAAAAAAATTATCTATGCATGTTTGATAAAATGACATGAGATATTATATCTACAAAACGACATAGCTAAATTTGACCTTTGTGTTGGAGTTGGTCTAACCCAATTGTTTATACCGCATGAGAAAACGGCGCCAACCCAAGGTTACTCCAACGTAGAATGGGACAGGAAGAGGGAAAGGTCGGTTGACAACTCTTTGGCTTTCTTTCTATTGTACATTCTCTAAACCTCAATGAAGATACAACAAAAGATAAAATCTAAAAAGAAGCAAAAATACCCAGTCTAACTCAGCAGTTCTCTCAAGTTTATGGAAAAGGGACCAGGATTTTTAACTACACAGTGAAAAAGGGCCGGACATACTCACGTTATCTGTCCATGCGTTTCTTTGCATTACTCGGCCATCGGTTGCTTGCTACTAGCTAATGAAAGGAAAGAAATCAATATCGATCGAAAGAGAAGGGACTAATAAGGGAGGTCTCCAGCTCCCTGAATCCTCTGTAAACAGACTCTGTCTTGCTTTGGGGAAGGGGCAA